GAGCCACTGGTGCCCGGCCAGAGGCTTGTTTTTAACTTTTTAATTTTTAAGATTTGAACTCAGAGCCTTGTGCTTGCTAAGGAGATACTCTGCCATTTGAACCACAGGCCTCTTGAATGATGCTTTCGGCCTTTCATTGCACTTAGGCCTCTGTGGCAGGCCAGGTGCTCAGGATACGATGGATAACCAGATAACCAGATCCAGAGCCGGACCTCTGGGAGGTGGGAGGAGCCACAGGGATACATGCAAAGCCCCAGCTGACAAGGATAGCAGGCATGAAGGGGAAGTCAGTTTGGCTTAAAAGTGCATGGCAGGGCTCTGGCTTAGCCAGAGCAATCATGGAAGGCTTCCCTAGGGAGGCATCCAGTGAGAAGTCTGGTGGCTTGGTGACTGTCCATGAAGCCCTTGAGGACAGGGATGTGATTCCTTGTTGGGCCTCTTTGGGCCCAGCACAGAGACTGACATACAGTAGGTCTTGGATGTTTGATGACTGAAGAAGTGAGCACAGGCTGGGTAGCATTGAAGATCTTCATGACATGTGGAGAAAGAGCTGGAAACAGAGGTGGGAAGCCTGGGCACAGGCTGTAGGATTCTTGCAGGAGTTCCCCAGAGTGAGCTAGTCCTGCAGGGCCCCCCACACACACCTATTTTTTGGGTAGCAGTAATCAGGAAATCCACTGTCTGCTCGCTCATTTGTTGGTGGTCGGAGGAGGGAGGCAGGGAGAACAGTAGAGGCCCAGGATTCCTCTGGGAGCTGGTGAGGAGGCTGGCAGCACAGGGTCTTTTAAGCAAGCCAAACATGGTCAGCTTTGTGTCAGAAGTGATCTTCTGACTTTCTTGGGGTTTTGGAGGTGGAGGCAGACAAGACTAGAGGCCAGTGAGGAGGCCACCGTGGTCCTCGTGCAGCTGAAAGAGGAAGTGGTCTCTGGCTTTGCGAGTGGAGAAGCAGGATGGTCAGGACTGATAGTAGGGGTGTTTGTGTTCCCATGCCCCTGCCTCCAGGAAGCCTTCCTGATTTCCTCCCCCTTCTCCCAGGGCCTGTGCTCTGCTGGTGGTTTTAGAGCTCCATGTGCCAGAATCTGACCCTTTTAACTCACAGCTGTTATTGCTGGGTGGTGTCTTAGGCTCAGGGAGGCTTGGCATGCCGGGAATGATGTACCTGCAGTCACAGTGAGTGTATGGGTAGCAGAACCAGGCCTAGAACCCCAGGCCTTGAGTCTCTGCGCTGCTCTGTTCTTCCAGCCTTGTTTCCTTCCAGCAGGCAGGGAGGAGGCGTCCCAGCCGGCACTAGCTGCCAAAATCTAGGCAAACACATTTTTTCCCTCTGTCCTCACCAAGCAAGAGTGAGTGGCTTGGCCCAGCAGCCAGAAAGGAACCCAGGCCAGCAGGAAGGGCTGGGGAGGGGAAGGGGGGGCCAGTGTCTGCAGGACATCTTTGGCCTGGACTGAGGGGCCAGAGAGGGGGATAACAGGAGGGACAGGACCATGACTGGGCAGCTCCGCCCCCCCCTCCCCAGGAGTGAGCACACCTCTAGGCTTTGAAAACTTGTTAGAAAGCTTGAGCCTAGAGGTCAGCTATGCTGGCTCAGGAGGGAAGGAGCTGGGAAGCGGGGGGGGGGGGGGTCTCAGGACCCAGCCGAAGAGGCCTCTTGGCTGGCTTCCAGGAGCCCTGGCTGGAGGCCCAAAACCCAAGGTGAGGGGACGTCCCCTCTGGTGCCAGGCCCTCTGGCACTGGCTGGAAGCTGAGCAGGGACATTCCTGGGCAGAGGGGCCTCGCTGGCTTCCAGGACGCTGCTGCCAGGGGGAAGGGGAAAGTCTAGGTTTCACAGGGGAGCATACAGGACAGAAGGAAGAGTAACCCACCAGTCCCACCTCTCAGGCCTCTGGCTGTGTTGAGGATTGAGCCAGTGTCCAGGCTCCATGGATAGAAACCAGAGTTATGTTGAGAAAGATGGGAGAGACTGTCTCTTAGACTGAGGGGCTGTGTCTCACCAGGAGTAAGTGCTGTGGTTGATTAGTGATGTCTGTGCCGGTGGAGTAGGAGATGTGCTGGGAGTCAGAGCACAGGTAATCCCGACCCAGTCCACGCTGACTGGGTTTTGGATATGAATGCTATTAGGGTCACCACACTTCTGGGGGCCACTACTGGGGAGTGGACGCAAGGCCCCGTGCTTGCTAGGCAGGTGCTCTACCATGCGAGCCCTTTTTTTAATGTTGCTTCTTTTCAAGGTAGAATCTCTATCCCAGGGCTGGCCTGGGCTGCCATCTTACTTGTGTTCCCAGTGTTGCTAAGGATGACAGGCCTGTGCTGCTGTGCCCAGCCCTTGTTCCCCCATAGCTGGGGATGGAGTCTTGTGTGTGTGTGTATGTGTTCTGGGGCTTGAACTCAGGGCCCAACGGCTGCCCCTGAGTATTTTTATGCTCAAGTCTTAGCATTCTATTGAGCCACAGCCCCACCTCTGGCTTTTTGCAGGTAAGTCTCACGGACTTTCCTGCCTGGGCTAGCTTTGAGCCATGATCCTCAGATCTCAGCTTCCTGAGCCACCAGCACCCAGGCTGCAACCTTTTCACCCAGGCTGGCTTGAACCACAATCGCTCATCTCCATTTCCAACTAGCTAGGATTATAGGCTTGAACCCCACTTTACAAGTAAGACCAGGACCTGGACAGGACAGCTGACTTGAGAGGGACCAGGGTGCTGCATCAGGCACAGCATCTAGTACTCAGAATCCAGCACCCAGCAGGCTATCAGTGGACCTGTGCCGAGAGAGGCACGGGGTGAGGAAACAGTCCAGAGCAAGGGTGCTGCCAGGGCCACACTGGGATGCAGCATGTCGTTCTGTGTGACCTCAGTCCTGGGCTTTGCTCCTGTTGGCTGTGTGACCTTTGCCCTCTGTCTAGACTTCTCTGGATATATGTGTCATCAGGGAGACCCGGAGGATGACAGTGTGGAGGGATCAAGACGCAGCCCTGCACCTTTATAGGTATTAACAATTTCTCCCTATTGGCAGAGCAGCAGCGACTCAGCTACTGTGTGACTTCAGGCAAGAGGTACCCCTCTCTGGTGCCCTCTTTGATAGTGTAAGGAGGTATGGCCAGAGGCCTCTAAGGGCCTTCCTTGCAGTGACGGCCAGCTGGAGATGCGGAGTTGGAGAAAGACCAGTGCTGGCGGAGGGCCTGACACCTCCTGGACAGACACTGCAGGCCTAATAACCTCTGGATGATCACCGACCTCTAGCTTATACCACATAAAACTGCTAGCGGCAGACACTGATCCCATCCTACAGATGGGACAGTGGAGGCCCAGGGGAGCCAAGTGACCCAGCCATGGTCACACAGCCTGGGGAGAACAGAGACAGGACTCAGACTCCAGCTGGTCTCCTAAGCCAGTGCTGCCTCCAGGGACCCAAAGTCACTATTTTCTCTCCACTAGGTTGGCTCTGGAGCTCAGTTGGGGCACTGACCAACTGGGTGACCCTGTCAAGGAATTCACCCCACCCCACCCCCTGCCTGTTCTCTGTTCTCTTGCCCCTGCCCTGTGGCCTCAAGTACCCAGGGCTGACTCAGCTGTCTAGACGGACGGCTGGCAAGGAAACAGACCATTACCTCCCCTGGTGGAGGTCAGGGAGGGCTTCCTGGAGGAGACATCTGTGCCAGGCGAAAGATGAGCAGGAGTGACACGCAAAGTGAGGGAGGAAAGGAGAAGTGTCTGAAGGTAGGAGGTGACCCAGAGGAAAGAATGCAGGGAGGGGCAGCTGGAGGGAAGCGAAAGGCATTCCTTATGGCAGGAATGCAGAAGGTAGTGGAGGCGGGGTGTTGGGCAACAGGTGGCATCCAAGCCCTGGACGCCCAGGCCTACCTGGAGTACAGCCTGGCTGTCTGACCTCTGCTCTCAGGGGAGTAGGGAGCAGGGGAGGTAGCTCTCTGGCTGGGGAAAGATCTGGCAGTTGGCGTGTGGAGGAACAGGCCAAGGTGGCCCTGCAGGGTGTGGCTGGTGGCCTGTAAGCACCTCCAGGTGGAGTCTGGGAAGTCAGGGCAGCCAGGAGGGCCGTGGCTTTGCTGAGGAGGAACAGAGTAGGACATAGATCTGCCATGAACAGCTAGGTAGGAAGCTACGGCCTGAGCTCCGCAGGGGATGGAGACAGGCAGGCAGGGAAACAGAGGCCCAGGTGTTCAGCACTTTGGGCTGCGGTTCAGAGGCCTCCTCTATGAAGTGGACCCGCAGCCCACCCAGGATCTGCACGTGACAGCCAGAGGGGCCAGTCCTCACCTGGGACTCCCGCTGAAGCTTTTCCCCGCTACACAAGAAGACTGTTGGGTTTTGCTGTTTTAGTTTTATCTTGCAGCACTAGGGTTTGAACTCAGGACCTGGCACTTGCTAGGTAAATGTTCTACCCTTGAGCCATGTCCCCCAGACCCTGTTGTTTCATTTTTTTAAAATTTATTGTTATAAAGGTGCTGTACAAAGGGGTTACAAAGTACATAAGTCAGGTAAAGAGTACATCTTCTTGGGCTGGGAAAGTGGCTTAGTGGTAGAGTGCTTACCTAGCATGTATGAAGCCCTAGGTTGTTGTTGTTTTGTTTTTTGGGGGTCTGATTGGGGGGCCTGAACTCTGGGCCTGGGCGCTATCCCTCAGCTCTTCAGCTCAAGGCTAGCGCTCTACCACTGGAGCCACAGCGCCACTTCCGGCTTTTTTCTTTTTGCTTATGTGGTGCTGAGGAATCGAATCCAGGGCCTCACGCATGCAAGGTAAGCGCTCTGCCACTGAGCCACCTTCCCAGCCCCTTAGGTTTGATTCCTTAGTACCACATAGAAAGAAAAAGCCAGAAGTGGTGCTGTGGCTCAAATGGCAAGAATGCTAGCTTTGAGCAAATGAAGCTCAGGGACAGAGCCTCGGCCGAGTTCAAGCCCCAGGACTGGCAAAAAAAAAAAAAAGTATATTTTCTTTTTAGACAATGTCACCCCTTCTCTCCCTCTCTCCTAGTTTTTTCTCTACCATCTCCACCGACAAGTTGTATAATTTGTTTTCAACATAGTGTCTGGTGAGTATGACTGCTGCATTTATTCGCCTTTTGTCCCTCCATTTCTGTTCTTGTTGTTGTTATTTGTCAGTCATGGGGCTTGAACTCAGGGTTTGGATGCTGTCCCTCAGCTCTTCAGCTCAAGGCTAGTGCTCTACCACTTGAGCCACAGCGCCACTTCCAGTTTTCTGGTGGTTAATTGTAGATAAGGGTCTCACAGACTTTCCTGCCCTGGCTGGCTTTGAACCATAATCCTCAGATCTCAGCCTCCTGAGTAGCTGGGATTACAGGTGTGAGCCACCAGCACCTGGCTGTTGTTTAGGTTTTGAGACAGGATCTTGCTGTGTAGCCCAAGCTGGCCTTGAACTCACAATTGTCTTGTCTCAGCCTCTTGAGCGCTGAGGTTACAGGCCTGGGCTACCACAAAGTGGCTCTTAAGCCTCTCCCAGCGCCAGTGCTTTAGCAGCTGCCTCTGCCAAGGGGCCTCTTTTACATTGACAACTTACTGTCTGTCCCTATCCTTTCATCTCAACTGCCAGCCCTGCTCTATGGGCCAGATGAAGCACCGGACTGTCCCCACGTTTGCCCGAGTACTCTGAGAATTCTACTAACACTGGAGCCCCTGCCCTGGTCAGGCAGTCTAATCCTGGGTAGCAGCAAGCATGGAACATGTATGTGAGCAGTAATGTGGCAGGAGATTCTAGGGAACATGAGAGTAGAAGAGGGACTGGACGGAGTTCAGAGGCAAACTTTGAGCCTGATGCTTAAAGTCTCAAAATAGTCCTTAGGGATCATTTAATTCGCATTTCTCTTCGGGAGGCTGCACATCCTCTGCGATGAGTAAGCCATTCATAGTAATGATCTTTCTCTGGGAAGGCTGTTCACATCCTTCACCCTGTTTCCTGTTGAGTCTCTTAGGCTGGTTTGAAGCCAGCCTAAGCAGAAAAGTCTGAGAGACTCTTATCTCCAATTTACTAGCAAAAACCATGAAGTGGAGAAGTGGCTCAAATGGTAAAGTGTTATCCTTGAGTAAAAGAAGTCAAATGAAAGCACAAGGCCTAAGGTCAAGCCCAGTACTAGCATGAGTGCAAGCACACACACACACACACATGCAAACTTAGAGACTAGCCTGAGAACAAGAATGAGGGGCCGAGAGAGTGACCTGCTCAAAAACCCTGAGGAGGGGCACAGGCTGAGGTCTCTGAGATCGAGGAGGGCATGGCTGGAAGAGCCAGAGGAGCCAGGCAGGTGCTGTAGCCAGAAGGGCGAGTTCTGGGGGCACTATGGGACCTTGCAGTGGCTGTGAGGACTTGGTTTACTCCAACTTAACAAGGGAGTCATAAAAGGGTCTCAAGATTGGCACCACATGATCTGATGGACAGCCAAAGGCTCTGGGTCATCCTGGGGAAAGGAAGGCATGGCCCTCTCAGAGGCACAGGTATATGGGGCACCGGGTCTGTGTGCTCTCTAGCCCTCCAGATGTTGCTATGAGAGTAAGAACAGTAAAGAGCATCAGGTGCACAGCCATGAGGCTGGAATGCCCATTTCAGGAGGCCACTGCGGCTGAGTGCTGGTGGCTCACACCTGTGATCCTAGCTACTCAGGAGGCTGAGAATTGAGGATCACGGTTTGAAGCCAGCCTGGGCAGGAAAGTCCATGAGACTCGGGGAGGGGGGGCCCGGGAGAGAAGCTGTGACTCAAGTGATAAAGCACCAGCCATGAACAGGCCCTGAGTTCAAGCTCCAGTACCAGCACCCTAAAAAAAAAAAAGGCCACTATGCTGGACCCTTGTGTTAGAAGGAAAGTGCCCTTGAATGCCAAGGTGTGTGGAGCTTGGATTTTACTGTGGATAGAGGGAAAAATAACCGAATGAACCAAAGTGACCTGAGCTCTGTTCTCCCCTCTAGGTCTTCAGACCCGAAGACTGTGCAAACATGTCCGTGGATCCCCTGTCCAGCAAAGCCCTGAAGGTGAGCCGTCTCCGGGGGCCCCAGTGCCTCCCTCCCCCCCTCCCCCCCACCCCGGGCCTCCACACCCCAACTTCCTCTTCCCTTCCCGGAATCCCGAGGGTGGTTCAGACCAGGCGGACCCAAGGCAGGTCCCTTCCCTCCCGCCTCGGCCGGCTTCCCCATTCCAAGGTGCTTTCCGAGGCTGGACGAGCCGCGGGGCGCCCTGGGGGTGACCTCTGACCCCAAGTTGGGCTGCTTTCCCCTTTCTGGATTCCTGCTCCCTGAGAACCAAATCCAGCACCGTCGAGGCGACCGAGGGGGCGACCCCCGGGGGACACGGCGGGCGGGGGGGGGGGAGGAGGCGGTGCCCGGCACGGCTGCGCCCGGGCCCAGGCCCCGCGGGCGGGAGGCAGTGCGGGCCTCAGTTTCCCCGCGCCCGCAGGTCAAGCGCGAGCTGAGCGAGAACACGCCGCACCTGTCGGACGAGGCGCTGATGGGGCTGTCGGTGCGCGAGCTGAACCGGAACCTGCGCGGGCTCTCGGCCGAGGAGGTGACGCGGCTCAAGCAGCGGCGCCGCACGCTCAAGAACCGCGGCTACGCCGCCAGCTGCCGCGTGAAGCGCGTGTGCCAGAAGGAGGAGCTGCAGAAGCAGAAGTCGGAGCTGGAGCGCGAGGTGGACAAGCTGGCGCGCGAGAACGCCGCCATGCGCCTGGAGCTCGACGCGCTGCGCGGCAAGTGCGAGGCGCTGCAGGGCTTCGCGCGCTCCGTGGCCGCGTCCCGCGGGCCCGCCACGCTCGTGGCGCCCGCCAGCGTCATCACCATCGTCAAATCCGCGCCCGGCCCCGCCCCCAGCGCAGGCCCCGCCCCCTGCTCCTAGTGCCCGGCCCCTCCCCTCCCCAGGCCACGCCCCCACACCCCGCTCCTTTCCCAAGTGCCTACAGGTCCCGCATCGCTGCGGTCACACATTCTATTTCTGGGCTCTGTCTTCCTCTTGCAAGACCCCCTACCCCGCCCCCCGACTCGGACCTATTAGCCCTGGGGAAGGGCAATTTGGCTTGGAGGGTGGGATATCCGGGGCCACGGTTCTCTTTGGACTGAATTCAGCCCTCTCAGACGGGGAGGAATGGGATTTGCAGCCGCTCTGGAGGAGCTGTCTGTCTGGAAAAGGGAAAGCACGTCTCATTTCGGAACCGGCTCTCATTGTGCCAATACACCCTCCCAGTCCTCCCAGAACTCACTTGTGGGGCTGTCATGCTGGGAAGCTACACTGGAAGACACCTCCCACATCTGCTCTGGGCCTGGGACAGCTGACTTTCCAAAGCCAGGAGAGGCCTTCATATGGCCAGTGGAGCCCAGTGGAGATGGGGAAGCTGTCAGATGGGCCAGTGCCCAAGGCCACATGGATCAGTGATGGAGCTAGAACCCAAAGCTTGGCTTTTTCACTGCTGTCCTAAGATTCCAGCCCTGGATTTCAAGGGGACAATAGACAGGGCCTGAAATCATTTGGAAAGATCCTTTTTGGCCGGGAGACTCCGTAAGGCAGGGGAAGAGAAGCCGAAGGAGAGAGAAGGTGACACAGAGAGAGGAGTGGGAAGGAGCTGGTTTGGCTTATCCTAGGGCTCTCCCTGTAGGCAGGGTGCCCTGGACCTGGCCAGCCAAAGAGAAAAGGAACAATGGAGGTGACCACCGTGGCATTCTGGGAAACGGGGTGGGTACAGATCCTGCGGTTCCCAAAGCTGAGATTAGGGGTCTTTGGGCTTCAGAATCCCCCCAGAACCCTTGAATATCCACTGTAGTGGGGGCTGGCCACTGCCATTGATTGCCACTCTCCTGGGGAGCCCAGCCCCTCCCCAATACTGTGTACAAGCTGCCCAGTCCCGCTGTTTTATTTATTGCACAAATCTAAGTTATTCTCCCCAGCCAGAGCCCAGTTCCTGCTCTGAGGGAAGTGGCATGGGCTCTGAGCTGGACTTTATATTTTATATCTGCAAAGAAATCACATTTATCTTATATTTACAGAAAGCCAGATGGTGACAACAACAAAGAACTTATTTTTAAAAATTGCCCGGCCCCCAGAAGTTATTTATTTTCTGACTTACAGTGAGCCAGTTATCTATCTTGTGCATTTTGTAGACTTTCTGAATAAAGTCAAGCTCTCTTTCCAGAGAAGTGTGTCCTGGACTCTGTTGTATTCTGAGTGAGCTACCCAAGATGCCCCAGCCAGGATCTTCCGTGGGTGGGAGGCTGAGCGGGTCACTAGCTCTTGCAGCAGGGTGGGTAGAGGGTGGAACCGGGAAACTGTCCTTCCCTGGAGCCTCCATGCAGAGAAAAAGTTCTAGATTCAGAATAATCTTTCCAGCACTTTCTCCAGCCAAGTTAGAAATTGTTTCTCCATGTTCTAGAAGGGTCAGGAAGGTAGGGACAGGAATAGCTTCCTGGATTGGAGCCTGCAGACCTATCTTAATCCTGAGCTGACTCTGTCAACCCTCTGCCAGGGCTCCTGCACTGTCCTCCCACCCAAGAAGTGGATTTGGTCAGGGGCATCAAGGTTTGAACTTAAGTGTGTCTTTTCTTTAGTTGTGGAACTTGGGTAACTTTTTGCATCCTCAGTTTACACATCTAAAACTGAAGGTGCTCTATTTATTTTTTGGTGCTGGTCCTGGGGCTTGAACTCAGGGTCTGGGTGCTCTACCTGTGCTTCTTTTTCTTTTTCTTAGTCATGGGGCTTGAATTCTGGGCCTGGGTGCTGTCCCTGAGCTCTTCAGCTCAAGGTGCGCGCTCTACCACTTGAGCCTCCTTCCCAGCCCACCTGTGCTTCTTTTGTTCAAGGCTAATGCTCTACCACTTGAGCCACAGATCCATTTCCAGTTTTTTTTTTTTTTAGTAGTTTAGTGGAGATAAGGGTATCATAGTTTCCTGCCAGGGCTGGCTTCCATCTGCCATCCTTAGGTCTCAGTCTCCTGAGCAACTAGGATTACAGGCATGAGCCACCAATGCCCAGCAAGGAGCTATATATAAAATAGCAGAATAAATGTTTAGGTCTAACAGGCCTAGAGGACCATATGTGTGGCTGGGCAGAGAGATGGCAGGCTGGAGAAGTGTCAGGATTGGAGTGTGGGGAAGGGCCAAACCACGTGGCTTGACTGAATCTGAAGGGCTTTTTCCCTCTCAGGTTGAGACTCTGCCAGGACCCAGTCCTGAAATGCTGAGCTCAGGCTGGAGGCGTAAGCAGCAGGAGGCTCTTGGACTATTTACCTCTAGGTTACAGGCTGGCTAGGAATTTCCCCCACCCACACTACATTCCTGAGCACTAGGTCAGCAGCTGGCCAGGCCCCAGAAAAGCATGCAAGCTGAGAGCAGGTGCCCACAGTCCAATATACCCCCAGACCCCTGGCCTTGAGGGTCCCAGGACAGGGGATGGGCTCAGGGATGCAAGAAGAGAGCCAGAGGAGTCTCTTCTCCCCTGTGGGAAATGCCAGCAGCAGACCCCATGTGCACACCAGTTCCTGGCCAGTCTAATGGGGACCTGGAATGGGAGTTTGGTCCAAAGCAATGTGAACATCTCTCATTGGTTCCACATCATCTACAGGGAGAGGATGGAGACCCCTGCCCAGTACCACCACACACCCTCCCGGTCTTCAATATGAAGGAACAGAAAGGCAGGAAAAGAACCTCACCGGCAGGCAGAAGAAATTTCAATAAATCTATATTATCTTATAGATATACATCTTCCTCACTTCATGTGTTCAATTGTCACGCATCCAAAATGTCACAGAGACCAAAATAGAGTGCTTTCTGGTGGAACTCATGGCAGTCATACGACGAGATACAAAACTAGGGACTCTGTCTTCTCATACATCATACGGTTAATTTTTCAAGTATTTTTTATGTACAAAGAGCTACTCTATCTGGAAAAAAAAAGAGAGAGAAGGTAGGTTATGCATCCTAGGAAGGGGGAGGACAGGGGTGTCCGGCACAGGTTACCATCCGGCCCCCACATCCCCAGAGACTACTGACTCACTGCCACGGGGCTCCCTCCAGTCTGTCCACACATGCGGGCAAGAGCCAGGGTGGGAGAAGACTGAGGGGGGCAGAAATCAGCAACACACTTTGGCCTGGAAGAAAGGAAAACCCATCAGAGAAACAGACTTGAGAAAGCAAACGTGGGAGGAAGCTGGGGCTGCTCCCGGAACAGCCTGCATCTGCCAGTGCCTTCCTGGTAGCTTGGGACCAGCTGGCCAGCACCCGCCCCCCCCCCCCCCCCCCTGCCTCCATGGGGCCTGGAGCTGGCCTCTGGGCTACAAGGAGGGCAGGAGGCTGAGAAGGCTTCTGAGGTGCCACTGCCCCCACAGGCCCTCCTCACAGATCCCAGGAGCCTGGTCATTCCAGGAGGGACCAAAAGCAGGTTTCTAGTGAAGGCCACAAGCAGGGAGCAGCCTCCTCTCTCTACTCCATCCACTTCTCCAGGCTACTGCAGCCCAAATGCAGGACTCTGCCTGCAGAACAGGGGCCTTGGGGGCTCTTTCTGGGACAGTGGCTGGCATAAGCTCTGTCTGCCTGGGGACTCCGGCCTTCAAGGAGGCGCCAGGTATATGGGGTGGAAGGGACAACGGGAGGGAACAGGAGAACCCAGCCACTCCTGAGGCCTGTCAAGGGCACCTGGCCCAGTGCTGCAGGATCCTGAGTGCCAGCAACTACAAGACACCCAAAGGGCATGTCTGGGGCAGACTGGGAGCTAGGAAGGGAGCTTTCATGTGTGACTAAGGCACAGAAGAGACGGGCTAGGGGCCAGACAAGGCAGAACACCAGGCCCTGTGTGGACAGGGGACCTGGAAGGCGTCTGGGACCGCCCTTCCCACCTCTGGCCCCCTGCAGCATGGCCATCCCTCCTGGCCTCCCTGGGGGCTGATGTGAAATGTGGAAATTTAAACCTTCCCTGTGCAAACAGGAAGGGGCAGCCCCAGGGAGAGGCTAGGACCGCTCTAACCAGGAAGGGGGAGGGGGGGTCGACATCCCCTGAGTGAGGAGCAGCCAGGAAGCCGGGGCTCTGCCCCAGACTCCATCAAGAGCAGAACCCATGAGATAGGGCAGTGCAGGCTGCTGACCGTTCTTGCCAGGCCAGGAGTTGGGCAGAGTGGCCACAGTGAGGACAGCCAGGAGCCCAGTGCCTCCTGCTTCACCAAGCAAAGGGCCTGGAGGATGAGACCTATCTAGTGGGACCCCAGGGTCTGGCTGTGATCCTTGCAGCATGCCAGGCAGTCCCAGATCAGGAGGAGGGGTCCAGAGTGTCCACACCCCCTCCTCCTGCCTGGAGAGGCAAATCTAGCATTGGACAAAGGTGGGTAAGGGAGGGGAGCAGGTAGGGAAGAGCCCAGTTGGGGTATTGCACGGTATGGGGGGCTGGGCCGGGCCCTAGGGCCTCAGCTCTCCTGGGGAGTGGCTTAGAAGACTGAGGCCACTGGTCCACACACAGACATTTGGATGTGAGCATGGCTGGTCCTGGCGTGCCTTGGCCCATGACAGGCTGCGGGTGAGTGGCATCGAGACCAGTGTCTTCTGCCCTTGGCCCTGTCTGTGTACATACTCCTGAAGGCCAGGAGAGCCAGGCTGTCCCACAGGCAGGCAGCATCATCCGCCTGCTCTTCTGGAAGTGATATGTGAGGGTTTCTGGTCCAATAAATAAAGGGCAATGGCAAAGCCGCACCAGTTGCCTCCTGGTCTGTGAGGCCAGGGGAGGGCACAGCTGCCCCTGGCACAGCGCCAGTCCTTCCCCACCTGCGCCCTGCCTAGAACTCATCGTCAGAGCTGAGCAGGAGAGTCTTCTCATTGTCTCGGGCACCGCTGAGGCTGTGGGAACGCGAGAGGCTGTGGGCACCACCCCGCCAGGTGGGCCCAGGCTCTAGTGTGGACTGCTGTGTGTACTGCTGGTATGCGGGTGAGAAGTTGTGGATGGCATCCTGCACGATGTCGTGCGGGTTCATGGTCTCCTTGAGGCTGCTGGAGATGCTCTTCATTGGGGCGCATCGGCCTGTAGAGAGGAGGCAGGGGTGGGGTGAATGTCAAGAGAGCAGGAAGGCTGCTCATCCCTTGCCCCTCATTCGGGGACAAACCCTTACACCAAGGCTGTCATTCAGCCGTACCCTCCTGGGACAGAGATCAGATCCAGGACATGGAAAGGGGCAGGACAGAACTGTCTCCCTGGAGAACAGCCAGGGAGCCTGGGGTGCTATGGGGGAGAGGCTGCATGTGAGGAAGCAGAGATCAATGACCACTAGGAGCTGGGGTGTACGGATGGGAAGGGAGCTGGGTGGTGACTAACAAGCTACAAACAATGTACCTGGAATGTCTCCCCACAGCTCCTACCTAAGGAGTACCCCCCGCTGTGGGGGGCACGGCCCCTCAGGATTGAGCCAGCCCACTGGCTTTCCCTCCGAGAGGGCGAGTGCTCCCTGTCCCACTGGGCCTCCTCCCAATTCCCTCCATCCACTCATTGCACAAGCTCAGAAAGGCAAATGGCCACTAAGCCACGCTGGAAGAGGTCAGCTCAGCTCTGGACCGGGACGTCTGCCTCAGACCTGAGTCTCTGTCCTCTGTGTTCTCTGCTATGGAAGCATTGATATACCTCCTACTATCCCTTTAAGGGGCACTGTGCCCAAGAACAGAGCAGGGAAGGTTCTAGAATGAGAGACCAGGCAAAGCAGGCAAGCTCTGTAAAGTGCTCTGGGCAAGCAGGTGCTCTGGGCTCTCCCACCCCAGGATGCCTGTGGGGAGACAGGGACACAGGGGTACACCAAGGCATGCTAGTGAGTGACCAGAATGACGTGCAGGATAATGTACAGACAGACAAGAGAGCAGGACCTACCGTAAGGGCCGTATGTTGGCACTGCCCTCGGCCAAACCCAGGGCATATGTGGGGCAAAGGGGTGAGGAAAGAAGCCAGAGAGATAGAGAAGATAAGAGACAACTGAGTGAACCTCCGGAGCCCTCCCCCAGGTTAAGATGACACCACAGACCCTTCCAGCCCCTCCCCCTCCCCACCCCCCTCTGGCTGCCTCAAGGCCTGTGGGACATCTGTGTGGGGATGACCCCTGTCCCAGTGCTCAGGCTAACAGTCTTCCTGTTAGGGTGGGAGTTTCACTTCTACATCTAAGCCAGACCCCCACCCTGACTGCAGCTGCCCAGACCTCACTACACCTGCAGTCAAGGAAACAGGCTGGGATCAGCAGAGCTAGCTTTGCCTAATTTGAGGCTGGGGGGGAGGGCACCTCTGTGGAAGGGTGGGTCGGGAAGGCAGGGCAGGCCAGCAGCAGCTTGCCCTGCTAGGCCACGCTGTTTCTTCCTTGGCAGCTATATCTGGAGCAGTGTGTGGAAAGATGGCCTCGAATGGCAGCAGTGAGCCTCCACCAAGCCCCTAAGGTATGGAAATGGTTTTATGCCACAGCCTGGCCTGCTCCTTGGGATAGCCTGGCTCCAGGCCAAGGGTGATGTTCCCACGGGCACAGGCTCTGTCAGACAGACCAAGTCCAGTGGGCATGGACTCCATACTGGGCAAGTGCTGGTCAGATCCTTCTCCTTAGGAGCCTAGCAGACCAGCTGGAGCTTCTGCTGGCATAGGGTGGAGCATGGAGCAGGTGTGAGATCTAAGTAGTGACCGGAAGTCAAGTCACTGCAGGTGTGCAGGCCTCTCCCTCCCTCCCCCTCTCTCTTTCCCTCCCTCCTTCCCCACTCTTTCTATCCCCCCTCCTCTCCCTCCCCTCCTTCTCTCTTTCTCTAACTCCTCCCAGCCCCCCCCTCAGTTCAGTATATCTATCTCTGGCCGCTCACTAGGCCTGGCCTGGGAAAGGGAGTTCTGACCTCCAACTACTCAGGACAGGAAGCTCAGACAGGGGGTGAATAACTGACAGGAGGCTCCCACTCCCTAGCCCTTTCTGCAGCAAACTGTAAAGGCCAGTCTGGATCCATCTCAGCCTCCCCTTCCTCCCATGGAAGAGGCCCTCCACCCTCCCCAGTCACCTAATCACCGGGGAGCTCCTAAACTCACAGTATCTCCCAGAATGGGGACATGGGGACGGATGGACGGGGACACGGACGGACACACAGACACCGACACACAGACACTGACACACAGACACCCACACACACACACACACCCACACACACACACACACACACACCCACACACACACACGAGTTGATGCTCTCCAGAGCATCGTCGTGCACAATGTGGGGCGGCTAACCACAGTTCTAACCACTGGTGTAACGAGAAAGCTGTTAAAATCCATTATCATCTGACTGTGCTTCCAACAAGTAAGTAGAGTTGGTGATTGTTCTAAAGAACTTCAGAGCTGAACTCAGCGCTAGGCCCTGAATTCAAATGATAGTACCAACAAAAGAACCTTACAAGCCTTCAAGTCTGTAATCCCCCCCACACCTGAGGCCCACGCAGGACTGCGAGCTCCAGGGGTGGAGCTTTAGAGAAGAAAGAATTATAGGACAAGTCAGATCCCATACATAATGCTGCATTTGACTGTTCATTAGTCATGATTCTAAAAAAAAAAAAAATTTAAACTTTTTTTTTTGGTCAGTGGTGGGGGGCTTGAACTCTGGGCATGGGTGCTGTACCTGAGCATTTCTGCTCTAAGTGTGCGCTCTACTACTTAAGCCACAGCACCACTTCAGGTTTTCTGGTGGTTAATTGGAGATAAGAGTCTCATGGACTTTCTTGCCCAGGATAGCTTTGAACCATGATCCTCAGATCTCAGTCTCCTGAGTAGCTTGGAATACAGGCGTGAGCCACCGGTGTCCAGCTTTCTTTCTTTTTTCTTTCCTAGTCCTGGAGCTTGAACTCAGGGCCTGGGTACTGCTCGAGCTTGTTTTTCTCAAGGCTAGCACTCTACCACTTGAGCCACAGTGCCACTTTCAGCTTTTTCTGTGTATGTGGTACTGAGGAATCGAACCCAAGGCTTCATGCATGCTAGGCAACCACTCTACCACTAAGCCACATTCCCACCCACCTCTCCCCACCCTTTTTTTGAGATTGTCTAAATGTAACCCAGGCTGGACTCAAACATGACATGCTGTCTCAGCAGGATTACAGGTGTGCACTATATGCCTAGCACTTCAGTTGGGACTTTGTATAACTTTTCTGGGTCTCTACACTGGAACTTGATGCAAGACAGGTTCCAAGACTGGATCAATAGTGTTAGCCCTGCCACCCCTCTCTGCCCTCATCTCTGTAGTCCCTCTTCCTATGGCTAGAGCTAGAGCAGGATCAACCCCTGCAGGATGCTGGAGGTGCTCTGGAGCTCCCTCTGCTGGGATGGGGCCCAGGAGTCTGGTTCCTACCTTGTGCATCCAGCCTCTTGTCAGCGTAGACCTTGTAGGTGAAGGCATGCCGCAGGGCCAGGGCAGCAAAGAACATCTCCACACAGATGATGAAGTCCTGGTAGCCGGCTGCCACAGTGCCCTCACCCACCGACACGCGGGCTGAGTGGATCTTGGGGATGGCCCCACATTTCTCCAAAATAGCCAGCAGCATGCCTGGACAGGGAGGCACTGTCAGGCCCCAGACTGACCCTTCCCAGGCCTTCTCCATGAAGCCCCACCCAGGATGCCTGCACACCCCAATGAGGTCAAGAAAGGGCAGGAATGTTGTCACAAAGTCGAGAGCTTTGGAAAACCCCACTCTCCCAGCCTCTTGCCAGCCACACAACTGAGACATCCCCAATTAGGCAGCATTGCCACCCATAAGGTGACACCAATATGTCCCTGAAACCTAACCCCTCACAAGGGCCCAATGGCTAGAGTTCCTGTGAACTAGGCTGGGGTCCTTCAAGACACTGGTGGCTTAGGGCCCCCAGCCCCAGATCCGCGATCAGGAGGCAGGGGATAGAGCTTGCAGGGGCCTCAGGAGGCTATGAAGCAACTAACCTTGCCAGAAGGAGAGAAAGATGACAGACTTGACCATGAAGAACTTGAGGACAGGACTGTAGGGGCTGAGCAGCTCTCGCGTGGCGAAGTAGAAGAGGAAGAGGGCGTAAAGGGCCAGGCTGACGGAGATGTTATAGATGATGGTCACATAGAGGTAGCCGCTGGTGACACTGTGGAAGCAGACACTTTGCCTGGGACCCATCCTACTGAGGGAGGACGCTCCCACCTCCTCCCTGCTCACATGGCTCATCGCCATGCTGCTCAGCAGGGCACAATGAGCCATTGGAGGGGGGAGACAAGGCTGTGAGGGGCACATGTAGAGTGGGTTCGGGGCGGTGTGCCTGCATACAAAACTGCTCTCTGCCTGTTGCCCTCACGTCTCCTGGTGGAGGATGCTGGCAGGAAAGCCAGGGCCGTGCAAGGGGCCTGCCCTCCCTCAGAGGGGCACAGGCAGTGCTCACAAGCAGGGGCCAGCCTGGGGCCACTTTTGCTAACCCCCAAATGCAATATGTATGGACAACTTACATAGGAGGACTTTACATCTTGGGGTTCTTTCCCTCACTGCCTTGGGAGGGTCAGTGGCTCTGAGTGGTTTACCAGTGGGCAGCAACAAGAGCTCATTCCTGGGCTGGCACTTGGACCAAGGACAAAGACAGTGCTGCCGGGGTGAGGTGTGAGCTCGGTGAAGCTTGGGAAGGTCACAGCTATCCTGTCTGTCTGCCCCCAGCCCCCCAGCACCACCCCCTACCAATGCCCCAAGGAGAATCCCCAGCTTACTCAAAGTCCCCATCCCGGTACTTGCCAAAGGCCTGGAGGACCACAGTACTGACGGCCATGAGTGGCTTCACCACACAGAACTGCAAGGTGGCCTATTTGAGGAGAGCAAGGAGAAGGATGAGAACACATGAGAAGCACCTGGTCTGCGCCTTTGGCTGGACACCAGGGACAGAAGAGGCGGCCTCATGGCTGTCCCCAGGGGACTGCTGTCTACAGGGAAAGGTGGAGCATGTGGTCGAGACTATGCAGCACTGCCACGAGAGGAGACAGAATGGGAAATAAGAACTCCTCAGCAGTGGGCCTGTCAGGAACATGCTGAGAGAGAGGAGGCCAGGCTCCCAATTCAGGCAGAAGGAACAGCAACTGCACAGGCTCAGAGGCAGAGTGTGGTCAAGTGCAGGGCTTGAGCACTGAGGAGGGGCTGCCGCAGCCAGTTGGGACTGGGAGACTGGCACAGCTAGGGCCTGGAGGCCTTGGTGCTGAGAACCAACTCCATAGGGAACAAGTAGGTAATGACCTCCCTCCTTCTCATCCACCCTGCCTGTTTCCTCACCTGGGCTCAGTCCTGGGGACAGGGTTTCTGCTGGTGGCTGAGGCAGCCTGCAGAAGCAGCAAGCTAAGGAGAGGGACAGCCCAAAGAAACGGGTATAGAGGTTCAAAGACTGAGTTTCAGGTGGGCCTGGCTGACCACTCGATGCAATGGCACGGGCAGTCTCCTGGCCTCTGAGTGGCAGCACCTTGGTAAAGTGGTCACCTGCCCTCCACACAGTACAAGGTTGCCATGGCAGGTTGTAGGAGAGCCAGAGCAGGGTCTTCCTGGAGGCCTCCTACTCCAGGCACTCAGAACCAGCTTCTGCAAGCTCACTTAGCCTCCAGAGTATACCCTCAGAGAGGCTCCGCCATTCCTGGAAGCTCATGGGGAGTCCATGCACCCACAGAGCCTCTGGGTTCATGAGCCTCCAGAAACCATACAATCCTAGCCATAGGCTCCTCATGAGAAGAGCTGAGGGAAGCCAGGCTGAGCCAGTGTGGCTCGGAATGGCACAAGGAGTACAGCAGAAGAGGGCAACCCAGGGAACATGTTTCTGGCCAGTTCCCTGGCAAGGCCGGAGGAGGAGCCCAGGTGGCTGTGCTATGTGGCTGCTGCAGGTGAGGCACACTCCACTGAACTCCCTTGGCCCTCAAACCTGTACCCTTTGGGAAAGAACAGAGGTTCTCACCAGAGGCACGTGGGGGTAGGCTTAGTGGTATATGTGGGGGTGGGCTTAGTGGTATTTCCTGAGAGGTGAGCACTGTCATCATTCCCAGTTACAGACAGAACCGAGGCACAGATAAGCTAACTAACAGATGTGGCACTACAACCTAAACCAGCAGCCACACCCTAGACCAGCCCACAGGTCCCAGGCATACTGGACACTGAAATAAATTACACATCAGAAATGAGGTGGTGATTGGGGGGGGGCACTCCAGACCTCAACTGGACTGGGCTGGGGTCACTCTACTTTTAGCAAGCACTCCATTTGACTCAGACTCTGGCCTGGAGAATGTCCAGTGGCTCTGAGATGAGCTGTGGGCATGTCTACCAAGGGAAAGTATAAAAAACTCTCATTTGTTCCCAGTCCTCTCACTTCCTCTTCCCTGCCATATCTGAGTTCAACAGCAGAGCATCAGAGCCCACAGGGCTGGGGAATAATTTATAACACAGTGACGCCAGTTCTCGATCATGAGATCAAAACTTTGTGGACAATATAATCATCAAACAAGGCTGTGAGTCACAGCCCGGTCTGGAACTGGCAGCTGAACCACAGTAAACAATGGCTCTTCATGCCCCACCCTGGCTGTGACAGCTTTAACTCCTTCTCTGCAGTTCCATGGCAGATTCTGAAACAGCCCAAGGGGGAAGATGTGGAAGCAGAGCTAAAGCCCTGGTCCGTCCTGGGAGAGGCTTTGTGACCTGGCTACACTGCTGGCCCTGGTCCCAGTTCCAGCTCTCTGGCCACAATGGTTCACTTTGTGGGTTTTGTTTCCCTTCTCATTTTTTGGCCATCCTGGAGGGGTGGACAGAGGCCTTGTGGAGGCCAATGGCAGGTCAGGAAGACTAGGTGTGTCACTCTCAGACACTACCTCCCAGAAGCAGCCAGTGCTGGGTTAAATAATTACAGCCATTACCATATCTGTTCTTTACAATCACCCCAGAGATTTAAAAAAAAACAACAACTGTAACACCCATTTGTTAGGAGAGCAAACTAAAGCTCAGAGAGGTTAAGTCCATTATATCTGAGGTCATGCAGTCAGGAAAAGTTGGAAGTCAGACCCACATGGCCAGGCGCCTGTACTCAGACATCAATGCTCCTGCCTCTAGCTAGACACTGGCAGCTAAGAAAATGAGAAGTTCCCTACCACCAACTGGGAACGCAGGAGGAAGGCAGACAGGCTGCCCAGGCCCATCCATCAAGTGTTTTTAATGCTGAAACCATCCTGCCCCCAGCTACAGCTGATGAGTTTTCAAACTGAGACTCTAGAATCCCCACACAATTCTCTGATCCTCATAGACTTGGGTCAAACAGTACAGCCCAGAGCTGTACAAGACACCAGGACATTTCTGCTGCCTGTCTAAGCACATACTGCTGATACCATGTCTCCCTAACAGCTTGGGAGTGGCTGCTGAGGGCCTGGGGACTCCGACAGGTGGGAGGGAACAGGACAGCCTGCAGCGGGGTCCTCGAGCCTCCCAGACTGCTCCTTCTGACTCAGCAATGGTGGGCACACACCTGTTTGCAGAAGCGCAGGAATCCAATGGAGTAGGTCTTGCCCCAGAGGCAGCAGGTGCCGTACATACAGCTGGACCTGGGAAAAGCACAGAAGATGGACTGGTGAGCTGGGAAAGGCCACTCTCCCTCACAACAGAGAAGCTAGGGCCCTGAGCTGGGTGGCCTCTGAGCCTGAAGCCAAGGCCAGGGAGAGGCAGAGCACAGAATCTATGTGAGCAACAGGCCATGAGGGAAGCAGGACCACCCTGGCCCTGGGGTTGTAAAGCAACTCAGGGGGAAAAGGGCTGAATGTAAAACCACAGGAGGGAAAAAAATAACAAACAGTAAGGTCAAGAGTAACAGGAAAAGAGAGGAAGAGAATTAGCCAGAGCAACCCTGCCAACAGTCTTTCCACAGGAGCTGTGGGAAAAGCACAGCAGGTCAGGGTCATGGGCACAGATGGTCTGTGCCCAGCTGACCCAGGCGTGGGGCTCAGGGAGACTTCATATACTCACTCAATGGCCTTCCCTCTGATCTCCGACATGATGGAGCTCTCTCCCCCGAGGTACTCATAGCACAGGCTCAGAAAGTTATAGATGACCAAGGCTGTAAAAGGGTCCAGAGAAACCATTGAGCCCAGCACAGTGGACACACAGCTGGGGGGATTCAAACTATGGAAAGTGGAAAAGTCACAGCTGCACACAGCACCAGAGAGGATCCTCGGGACATGAGTTTCAGCATGCACTTAACAACCATTTGCAAGTTGTAAATCAGCACAGAACAATCGTACTGTACAGGTGAGTGGCCTTCTATGATGGTAATGCCCCCAAAGAAGGGCATAGGAGTGAGACCCAGACATTCAGGATCACACAGAGGCTGAGAGTTGTGAGCACCTAGGGGCATGGGAAGGCTGGCAGTGTGTTCACTAGAGGTCATGATCTTAACTAAGACTATGTGCTGGGGTCTTATGAGAAGCTGTGAGCAAAAACAAAAGCTGCATCCATCCCGTAAGCTGCACTGACATGTGCTATGAGCCCAGCACTGTGTAAGCTACAAGGGAACAGGAGAGACATAAAGAAGCAGTAGGAATGTTTGGCAAGCTGAGCCGGCCTGCTGTGAAGCAGGATGCAGTGAGCCGGGCATGGAGAAGTACGCTGTGGATGTCCATAAAGAAAAATGAAACTGCCAGACACTGCTGGCTCACTCCTATAATCCTACCTACTCAGGATGCTGAGATCTGAGGACTGTGGTTCAAAGCCAGCCCAGTCAGAAAAATCCATGAAACTCTTATCTCCAATAACCATCAAAAAGCCAGAAGTGGAGTTGTGGCTCAAGTGGTAGAACTCCAGCCTTAAGCAAAAAAACAACCAAAAACCTTAGAGACAGCACCCAGGCCCTGAGATAAAGCCCTAATACCTAAAGGGAAAAAAATAAAAAGGAGAAAAATGAAATTATGTCACCTGCAGGAAAATAAATAGAATTGAAGGACATCATATTGAGATAATCCATGACCAAAAACGCCAAATACTGAATGTTTTCACTCATATGTGGAAGCTAGATCTAAACGATACACATATTCACAAACGTGATATTTATATATATACAAACAAACAAACATACATGGGTACTTGCAGGAGGGGTTGGGCTTAGAGGGTGAAAGGGGATGAAAATGGTTGAGGTAGACTGTTCACATCTGGAACAGAACAATGAAGACTGTTGAAATTGTTTTGAGAAGGGGGAAGGGAGACTGAGAAGGGATAGTGGGATATATTGTGTCTATGTGTGAAATGTAACAAATGAAAGGCTGGTGCACAATGCAGCAGCAGGTTGGGCTGAGTCTTCCTGCCAGGTAGCTCCACCCAGGCCTGCAGGGTTCCAGCATTGGGGAGGAAGAGCATGAGGGAAGTAAGAGGATGGCTCAGAAGGCCATGAAGGCAGGAGCGCAGAGGCAGAGCAGAGCCAAGGCTATGGAAACAAGGAGAGTATTCAGCAAGGACAAGAGTCCGGGGGGACAAGGAAGCCAATGAAGCCCCACAGCCACCCTCGTTTACCTGCCTTGACAGGGCCCATAAAACACTGGCAGAAGCTGGGCGTGACAATTGGACTTTATTTGGGATGCTTTATGCTACTCTCAGTGCACTGTCCACAAAGAGCTCCCAAGCTCCCACTGTCTGCATCCATGGCTCAGAGCACACCTGGCTATGGCAGAGCAGATGGCTGTGACATGGCTCTGTGCCCAGCTGTGAATGGGCCTCGGGGCCTCAGTAATGGGATAAGTAGAGCCCCTCCTTCTGGCTGTGAGGGTTAAGCCAGCATGCTGACTGCTCAGGCCTCAGTGGCTCCCAGTGTTGGCTTCTTAGCCACCACTATTAATCTGCCTGCCTTCCTCACACCAATGCCCTTGACAGTGCTGAGGCCCTGCGCCCTGCCTACCTGGATGGAAGTCGGCTCAGGACATCTGGTGACAGTTAAACTCTCCACTGATCTCTAGTCACTCTTCACTGGTAAGAACTGGAGGGAGGGGGTTTGACCAACCCATACCAGCCTGCTGATAACCTTTGTCCACAGCCGCTCAAAGCCAACTGGGCACAGCGATGTGACAGATGGGACATTTTCCAAAGATGGCCACACCTGTGATGATGCTCCTCTACAGGAGACGAGGGCTCCTTCCCTCCCTCTGTATCTGAGTGGACCTGCGTGACTGTGGAAGTTCCTGATGCTGGGCTTAGATCAGGTGACTGATCCTGAGACGCTTGCCCTGGGGCCCACCCTCATGCCGTGAGGAGGGGGCGGGCTCTGGTGGGCAACTGCAGCAGAGCCAAACACTGTGTGAGCAAGCCTTCCCCTGTGTCCACAAGTGCTGGGGCCAGACACTTCTGAGCAGAGACAAGCTGCCCTTCCAGTCTTGTCCAATTCCTGACCCACAGTGTCTACAGACAAAACTAATGGCTGTTTTAGAGCTAGGGTGCGTTGGTGCTAACTTCACTCAGCCATGCTAAGTGGAATGGTAACATCTACCACCCATATTTCCACAACCCCCTCCCCCAGACTGCTCATGCCTGTGCACTGCACATTCTAGCTTCTCTGTTAACCCCCAGGGCCAGCACCTCAGAGATGTCACCTCTGCTGTCACCATGCTCACTTCTCACACCACTGCTGACCTGTCAGATCCTTCCTGGACATGAGGCTGCAGAGAGGAGTAACAAAGATCCCCAGACTCTCAGGCCTCACTGCCTGGCTGTGGACCACTATTACATCACTTATGAGATGAGTGACCTCAAAATCTCCATATCTCAGTTTCCTCATCTGTATCCAGCTGGGACTAACTCCTCCTATAGGCAGGGCTGCTATAAGAGGAGCACACGTGTGGGACCCTGGCTGAGGCCGTCCAGAGTACTTTGTCCAGACTGTGAACCTTGCAACTGGGACCTGAGTCCCATCCCCAGTGATAAGGGCTTGCACTTACTCAACCCACAATGAGTCTAGTTGCTGGAGAAGCTGCTGTGAGGGAGACTTAGGAGGGCTGGGCCAAGTGGTTGGTCTACTCTTTCTTTCCCATGCAGGAAAGGTGTCTCAGCCTGCACCTGAGTTCCATGGTTCTGCCAGCTTTCCATATCCAGCTACACATTAAATTTCATCTGCCTCTCAATTCAAGCTTCTTGATCTTTTTAAGACTCTGGGGCCAATCAGCCTGTAAATACCAATTTGCTGACACTTCCCTTTACAGAATCATCAAGTGAGTCAATAATGGGACTCACTGACTCAGAAAAGGGAGATAGGAATCTCGGATGTGACTCAAACGCCCAAACCAGGGCCCACTGACCATCCAGACAAATCTACCCCCATCCCAGGAAATGACAGAGCCTCACAGAACACCACCCCAATTTCTAGCAACAGTGCTTAAACTTAGAACCTGTACATACAAGCCAGAAATAACAGGAGATTCAGTAGCCTGCTTTAGGAAAAGCAGAGAAGCTGAGCAGCAACCCAGACCAAGAAGCTCAGGCAGCAGGCTTGTTATTCACGACCCTTCAGACCAAGGCTCTAGTTCTGGTCCCTGGGGAGGCCCCAGAGACACAAAATGCCCCTGATCTTCCCTGAATATCCATTGCAGCCGGTGTAACGGTCTCTATGCTAGCACTTAGGGACCAAGGGATCCCTGAGGCCAGGCCTGCCAGTCAAGAAGGCAGAGATGCAATTGTGAAAAGACCAGGATGGAGGGGGCTGGGAAGGTGGCTCAGTGGTAGAGC